GAGCATTACCACTGCCAAAGCGTTTTCTGTGCTGGGATTCATCCGTCGCCACGCTTCCGAGTTCACCGACATCCACGCTTTAAAAACTCTCTATTGCTCGTTGGTTCGTAGCATTCTGGAGTACGCTGCTCCGTTTTGGTCCCCTTATTATGTAGCTCATGTTCTCACGATTGAACGGGTGCAGAAAAGGTTCTTACGGTTTGCACTGAGACAACTTCCTTGGAACGATCCGACCAATCTTCCTCCTTATTCTGACCGATGCAAGCTCATAGGATTGGAACCACTATCTGTCAGACGAGTAACGATGCAGCGGCTATTTATTTTCGATATCATTGGAGGATCTATCGATTGCCCTGAACTTCTCGCACAGATCTCGCTCAACATTCCTCCTCGACAGTTTCGGAGCTCAGCTTTAATAGCAGTCCCATACCACAGAACAAACTACGGCTACAACAACCCTTTTGATTCGTGTCTTCGCTTGTTCAATGTTGTCTGTGGCGAAGTCGATTTTAACTTGACTAAAAACGTTTTTAGAAATAGGATTAGTAGGGGAAACGCTCCTATAGTTGCGGTACGTTAGAAGCGTTAGGTTCCTATAGTTGTGTACGGAGTCTCCATACACAACTATAGGAACCTAACGCTTCTAACGTACCGCAACTATAGGAGCGTTTACCCTAGTAGTTTACAGTTTATAAGTAAAAAAGTTCAGTCTGTACGACTAGTCGAAGACGGTGATAAATAAATAAATAAATAAATAAATAAAATGATAGCCTAGTCTACAAGCTGCATCGATATATAAAAATGTTAAGATGGAGTTAAGATATAATGAATTATGAGTAAGAGACGGTATGGGAAAAGTGTATTTTTATGTTTGGCCCCATATACGGCTAGCTAGTATAGCTAATTAATTATATCTTACGCATGAGTATGATTAAAAAACTGTGAACAGCAAAGTTTAAGGAAATTAATTGGGCTTTTTGTTAAAAATATTTTCAAGATTGAACACTCACGAATAACATCTCAAAAGAGCGAAAATTGCTCACATTATGCGATAAGTGAATTTTAACCTACGAGTATCTCGAAAATAACAATTTTGTGCAATTTAAGCATTATGAGCTTTTTTGTTGTAAATTTAATATGTATTAATATTTACAATATATCAAAGATATTTGACAACTATCAGTAGTATTTTGGAAAATACTTATTTTTTCAATAATACATTACTTTTCTATTTATGATTTGCCCAGCAAATGCACGGTGTCAGTAGGTATTATATAGAAAAAATAATTTAAAAAAAAATATGCGATTTGAGTAATTTCATTTTTTTGTTGATAATTTTAATTTTTTTTTTGTAAAATAATATATATTTTTTTCAGTGTACATTTTTTCTTGGAAGGCACAATACTTGTCCGCAACTTCTTCTAAGACACCATCTCGATCAAAACTATCGTTCACGAGATATATATTTTTCTATTGATTCCCATGATTAGGTCGCTCTATCCACTTATCAACAGAAAGTTATTCCATTAAAACAAGCTTGCCGTCCACAAGCAAATCATCCGCCCGGCCATTGAGTACGGCACGCCAATTTAGGAGAGCTATGCTAAGTGCCATCACCTCAAACTCCAAAGAATCCAGAACAAGATCCTTTAGGATGATTCTCAAGAGTCCCCCGCGGACTTGAAATTCTGAGATCCACCGCCTGGCTGGTTTTCAGACACTGGAGGAGCGGAGTACGCTCATCCTCGAAAGGTTCAGATACGCCTGTTTGAGATAAAATCACGAGATCATACGCAATCTTGCTAATTAGGTTAAGTTATTAGTAGTTAGGTAGGGGCCTCCCTTAGCTCAGTCGGTAAAGGCGCAGCTACAAAGCAAGACCATGCTGGAGGTGGCTGGGTTCGATTCCCGGTCCGGTCTAGGAATTTTTTTGGATTGGAAAATTTCTCGACTTCCCTGGGCATAGAAGTATGATTGGACTTGCCACACAATTATACAAATGAAAAAATGGTACAGGCATCGAAAGCTCTCAATTAATAACTGTGGAAGTGCACCTAGAACACTAAGTTGAGAGCACGCAATAAGCTAATATGCGATATGCAATAAGCTTGAAATGCGAAGAAGAAAAAGAAGCACAGACTGGTGCACGAAAAACAAGACCGACGGAAAACAAATCAAGGAAAAAAATGTAAGATCTGAGAACATCTTTAAAATGTCGACCACTTCATGGAAGCTTCGAGCACTTGAAAGTGGTTCCATCTGCTTCGATGAGGCCTCCCTTAGCTCAGTCGGTAAAGGTAAAGGTAAAGATCTTAAAATACCGCTATTGTAGGATTTCGTTGCCACCTTGGCTATTAAAAAAATGGAAACCACCATATTGGATATCAAAATTCAGAACTCTCTCACTGCGCAGCGCTAGTGTGCACATGGCCTTCCTGTATAAGTTGTAAAAACTGTCAAAGTGAAAATACCCCACAATATGGATATTTTCAGAACGGGAACGACGTGTAGAGGCCAGACTTCTGGTTTGTGAAAAGCGTCAAATACGCTACAATATGTGTATTTTCGGAACAATGACAACATGTAGAGGTCGAAAATTGATGATGATGCAGTTTTAGAATCCAAGAAGGCAAACTCCGATTTTGTTTATGTTTCTGAAATGGCATCAATCGTCTATTTCTGGCCTCTACACGTTATCCCCGTCCTAAAAAGATCCGTATTGTGGGGGATTTTAAACTTTTTCACAAACCGGAAGTCGTCTTCTTGGATTCCAAAATGGCACCAATTATCTCTTTCCAGCTTCTACACGTCGTCCTCGTTCCGAAAACACTCATATTGTAGGGTATTTGGCAGTTGTCCACAAACTGGAAGTCATCAACTTGACTTCCATAATGTCGCCAATCATCTATTTCCGACATGTCCTCGTTCCAAAAATATCCATATTGTGGAATATTTGACACCTTTTCACTAGTTGGAAGCAGGCATGAAAAATCATTCCTCATCATTACATTAATTTGCCCCTAACTTTTTTCATCAACAGAATTCCGCAAAATAATGTATGGAGTTTTTGTAGGTTTTCTTATTAGCTACAACTTTTGTTAAATACTCAAATCCGTATTTCTTCTGCATGACGAACCAGAGCAAACAGCATGCACTAATATTTTTCAGTGAATGTTTTTTACATTCACTGAAAAACAGTAACGAGTTCTGCCCGCTCTAATTCGTGATGCATAAGAGATACAGATTTGAGTTTTGGGCAAAAATTGTAGCTAATAACAAAACCTACCAAAGCTGTATACATCATTTTGCAAAATGCTGCTGATGAAAAAAGTTAGGGGCAAATTAATGTAAATGACTGCATGAAATGAATGTAAATGTTTTTCCATGCCTGGCTGGAAGTCACGATCTTGGATTCCAAAATGACTAGTTCTGGCCTTTACACGTCATCTTCGTTCCGAAAATATCCATGCTGTGTGGTATTTGGCACTTTTACAGTCTTTAAAACTTACATAGGAAGTTCATGTGCACACTAGTGCCACGTAGTGAGAAATTTCTGAACTATTATGGCCACCATCCGAAAGAACTTGGTCAACTGAACCACTTTACTGATAACAGTAACAGGAAGTTCAAGTGCACACTAGAGCCGCGTAGCATTTTAGAAAAAAAAGCGTGAAACGAAGAAACGTGCTCAACTTTTTGGCTCGGCTCTGGTACTATCTTCGGTCCCAAGCTAATCGATGCACCCCTCGAATCATAGGAAAGTTCACGAACCCCTCATTTTATCTGTCAAACTTTCATAGCGAATCAAAACAAACATTGTGTAGTACTAGAATTTTGACTAGAATGGGGTACGTTAATCGATTTGCTAGGAACCAATAGGCTAGTCAAGTAGTGAGTCAATTTCAAGCTTCGAATTGATTGTTGGTAAAACGCCCATGTAGAGGAAAATCACAATTTAATGCACAAAATGAATCTAAATTTAAGAACAAAGTCCTACACCTACACACTTGGCAAATAATTGATTATACGCCGCCACAACAATAGCCTTGCTCGATTTCAGGGATTTTTCTGTTAACCTTTACGATACCACAAAAAAAAATGTCATTCTGTTCATATTTCTTCAAATCGCACCCTATTTGACTCAAACTGGTTTTAAACGATTTCGGCACACATTCAAAAGTTATTGCAGCATATCTATTGTAGCTAATAATCTGTTCCACATCCATGAATTTTATAACCTTCAACCTACACTCAATTTTCTTTTTACCCGATTTGTTTTCGTCTCTAGTTTATATCGTGTGATCTAAAATTGCATCGAAATTAAATGCAATTTATTTAAGAATATCCCAAAAACAAATAAAAATATGCTGGAATTGAAAGTTATGTACACCCAACCAGGAACCGAGAGAATCTTTAACAGATTTGCATGAAAAGTAAGCAAAATTTGCAATGTTTTGCGACATGAACAGATTCTGTTGTGATGTAATTGTTATGTTAGCTTATTTTTCGAACAAAGTTTGTTCCCCCAAATGCATTGCTTCTAGAAAATCAACTCGTGCAGGTTTTATACACTTGATACTTGATTTTACGCTACAGTACATTGCAAGAACTGCCTTTACATCTGTTGCATGAGACAAATGCAGAGGATGTAATAATTTCCAACCTTACACTGGATGTACGAGAAATTTGTTTTGCGTGTACCGATCCCCACGAGGACAAAATCTAAAAAATCTAAATAATGTACAAACAGAATTAAGTGTAGTTGTGATCAACCAAAATTACTTTGTGCCGTAAAGGTTAACCCTCTTGCACACGCTAGCGCATCTATCGTAAACTTTTTTCTATCTGAGCAGTGTTTTCATCACTGAATAATAGTACCGTTGATATCCGGTACGGCGGCGATTAAAATCTAAAATTAGAATAAACAATCATGTTGATGATCTCTGTTTCACGGCCTAGTGGCGACGAAAAAAAAAACAACCATTCTGAACATAGGCATTTCACTGTTTCTTTATTTAAATCACAAATTATAATTACAAAGGCACACAGTAATGGAAATATTAATAAGGCACTAACTTTCAGCATTTCCATTTCAAGCCTGTACGTACACCACTTCCGGAATTCGTTTCTTTCTCTCCTCTGGGACACCCTCTATCATGTACCGCTGCACACCGTTGAGAACCCATAGCTCCAAGGCAGTTATTGCTAATTAAAAACGAAATGCGAAAATTAACTTCATGTCATCTTTTCAGTTACAGGAATCTCACATGACATTCCGAAAAACATGGACATTATGGCCAACACTACACCTGACGAAGCGTCTCCATCGTTTTGGCCAATTTCACGAGAAACGTCCCAGCAGGTCCACAGTATGAATAGCGAAAGAGTTCTCACGACGACAAACACCCTGTTAACGCGAACGGAGCAGACTTTCCTCTGAGGAAGATTGAATCATTGAAAGACACTCTAATAGCAATATCCTTTCAAAGCTACCTCATCAATGCCATCCTTCAGCAAACCGGCAAACATGGCAGACAGTATGCCGATCTTCAAACTGACGCCCAGAATGATGACGTTCTTCGTTCCTGCAAGGTGTCAATATTTGAAGTCAATATCAATCAGCCGAACATAGCTTACCATCGGGACAGGAGAAATCTCGACACGCTGGCTTTGCCTCCATCAACCGGTAGAGACAGAGAGTGGCGCCGAAACCCGCAATCAAGCAGCATAGAATTACATAAACCGAACCGATCCGGCGAAACGAACTCACGTCCATTTTAGTTCCGATTGGCGGACAACTGTTTTTAGCGGCACACTGAATCATCGCGACTGAAGCGAAAAACTAACTACACACTATTTGTATTGGTATAACGCTACTGCTGCAGATTCGCTCGCTTGTCGATTATTTGGAGGTGGGAGTGTAGGGGTGGATCATCGGTCGGTATGTGTCGTTTTGGGTTGTTTACAATCTGCGTCAAGCCAACTGCTAGCTGCGGATGAATGCAAATGCTTTTGGCTCGCTGTAGCACGTGGAGTTGTTTAGCCGAACGGGGTATTGGTATTGGTGTATGCAGTTTAATTAAGATTCTATAAGATTCAGACAACTGCAATGTTTGCTAGTGTGGCACACCAGGTCGTTTGCTACAGTATAAAAATGTGATTTACAAACAAGAGTTTAGAAGCATGGACAGTACCGCTTAATCGAAGCTTAATATTAATAAATGCATCGGTTTGCGCTTACACTTTTAGTTTCAGGTAAATGATGTCTTCGTGAAAGTTTTCATATTTTTGATATTTTAATATTTTTGGTCCGACGTCTGATGTAAGTGAAATAAGATCACCCTACACGGTAACCCCAAAATACCCAATAATGACTACAAAGTAAGCATTTTCGAGGGCGACTGGGACTACCCATTAAATGAGTAAAAATATTACCCATTTATGAGTATTTGTTATTCAAAAATGAATACTTACTACTTGTTTTTGTAGTTGTAATTACTCATAAATGGGTGAAATTTTACTCATTTAATGGTAGTCCCAGTTTCCCTCGAAAATGCTTACTTTGTAGTCATTATTGGGTATTTTGCAGTTACCGTGTATGGTTAATAAGTTCAGAATATCAACTTTTTAGTGATTTTAAATAGACCAACGCAATGTTGGACAATGTTGTAGAAAAACTTATTTGTAGCAACTGTGCAAAAAGTACAAAATTTCAATTCTAATGGTACTCATTTTATTCTGGTTTTGAAAACGTATCTTAGGGTGACTCATAAGAATCTGCTTATTTACATTAGCTTTTTTCATTGATGGAAACTTTTAGAAGTTTAGATAGCGCGTCCTTTTGCTGAAGTAACTATGTTCCTGATAACTTTTCAACTAAAATGCCCTCGGGTAAGCCACCAGTATACCAGTGTATCTTCGCCTTGGAAACTAGACGTAGCAGAAAGTTTTTTTTTTCCTCTGTTCGGGACCTAACACTACTGCGACCAGTAAATTGATCTATTGTAGTATATCCCGTGTCCTTAGTTTAGTGCATGTCGTATTACTCCATCACTATTGAGAAATGATGAAGTATTATTCGATTTTTTTTACAGTTGCCACTCTTGCATTTATCGCAAGGATCCGACTCTAATTGAAAGGTCCCGCTATTCATACCCTTCGGAGTGTTGAAACACCCTCCAAAGGCGCGCCCCTTTGTCAGTAAAAATTGGATTCCCGGCGTAGTGATTAACATCCATACCTCTCACGCCAAAGTCACGAGTTCAAATCTCACCCCCGGACAAGTCACGAATGACCCAAGAGTGTTAAAACGACTATAATAAAAAAAAAAAAAGAAGATTAAGGTATGTCACCGATGCATCAGAACCCTAGTCTCAACCACTTCAACTAGGGAACAACGAATAGAAGATTAGGAATCACATAGATGAAGACAACTAACTCCTTTTTTTACCTTGTTTCAAGATCATCCTCGGTAGACAAAGCCGAGTCTTGTCACTATCAACAAGGCATAAAAAGTAACAAGGACTAAGATGTGTTCCTTGGATTACTGAAAAATCCTGTTCCCCTAGTTTGAAGTAGCAAGGACTAGGAATCGGTGGTAGATCTTACATCCCGTAACGTACTACGAAAAGGTGATCTACCCACGTTACGGGGCTAGCAGAAAGTTTAGAAATATTTAAACATAATCCATCAACATTGCTTAATAGAGATCAAGGAAACGGATACTCGAGACTCTTAAGCATGCTACCGAAAACCACACATCGTGGCATGTATCTACCTGTTGGAGACTAAATTTAGGTACCTGGTTAGGTAAATTGTGACATGGCAGTAGATTTTTAGTACCTATTGATTAGTATATAACTCGTAGATAAAAGATGAATTCTTCGGTGGTGTTTAGTACTTGGCACTGATGAAGTCTGCAAGTAGTAGACGAATCTCTGTCAAAAGATAAGCTATTACAACGGAATTAAAAAAAAAAAACCATCACACTCAAAGCTCTTCATGAAGGGATTCCGTTAAGCGGTTCTTTAATTTAAAAGATTCATGCATAACCTTTAACATAAATATATAAAGTATAGGAAAATCGAGGGGCCTCATAGCCTAGTCAGTAAAGGCACGGTATTGCCAAGCCAGAGGCGGCGGGCTCAATTCCCGGTCCGGTCGTGGGAATCTTTCGGGTTGGAAATTTTCTTGACTTCCCTGGGCATAGAGTATCATTGTGCTTGCCACAAAACATACGAGTTTATGCATTGGTATTGGCATCGAAAGCTCTCAGTTAATAACTGTGGAAGTGCATTTAGAACACTAAGTTGAAGGCACGCAATAAAGTAATATGCCAACATGACCTACTTAATGCATGAACCCTTATGCATATATACTTACAGAAATGAAGCTTGCACAAAAAAAAAAAACTGAAGCAATTAATTTCGTCCTTTCCCCTTCAATAGCACATTTGTTTACTTACTGCATCGTAATCATTCCACTCTTATAACAATAACCATAGTAATCACACTGCAAGGAAGTCCAGTATGCAACAAGTGTCATTAGACATTCATTCACTGCCCGGCTACCATTCGATGGCGCCACCAATACACACTTTAAAGATGCAGGTGCATCTGTAAACAAATTGATGTTGGTGTTCCGCATGCGCATTGACGATCAGTTAGCATTCATTCCGCTTTCTTTACTCGGGTTCATTCGACGAGTCAGCTGATTTGGTCATCTGTTATTATATTGTAATTGCCGGGATTTCTTTCAACAGGTTTGCTAGAACATAGCAAGTCAATCGTTTTGAAAACTTGAAGCACAATTTATGGGTTGAAATGTAATGCCATTTTGTTTGATCGAAAAGGCATTGGAAACATATATCATTTTCAAGTGCAAGTAAATTGAAAGGGCTGACCTTTCGATCCACGAGCTGCGTAGTATTGTAAGCGGTGCCGGTGGTTTAGTGGTAAGCGTGACTGCATCTCACTTCAAGGGGCCTGGGTTCAATCCCAGTCGACGCCGTCGAGATTTTATGAGGTATCAAATCTATGATCACGGGAAGTTAAGCCGTTGGTCCCCGGTCCTGGCGTCGGTAGCATTGCACAGTGGTCCAGAATGCAGATTTAGGTGGAACGATAAGTTTTGAGCCTGAAATTGAAACTTTAGACTAAAAGTTTCTTGTACAAAGTTGTTCCTTATAGTTAGGCCCTCATTTTTATGACAATGAATTCTAGGGTGGTTCCTATTATCATTAAAATCAAAAATCTAACTTTTTTGTTTGAAAAAATTAAGGTATACAAAAATATAGCTGAGCTAATTTCAAGCAACTTTGTTTTTTTTTTGTAATTAATTTATTTGTACAGGCTCAATCGAATAAACTTCACAGAGCAGAGTTTGAATTACTGTCTTAAATTTAAAGTCAAAGGAACTGGACCGAGTACTCGCGGTTGTCTCGAGGTTAGTGGAGATTTACAATTTTTTGGATGGGAAAGCAACTTTGTATGAAACAACTTTTTTGTATCTCTAAAATTGGCCGATTTAGAGCCATTTTCTTGAATTGAGTTAGGGTGGCTCTAAAAAAAAAACAGTGTTTTGCTCTAGTTTTCTTATTTCGAATAAAAAATACAATATGCACTTTTCAAATGTTAATATCTCTGGTTGGGACAAACCAGAAACAAACAAAAAACAAAGTTTTTTTACGGCATGTTATTCTCAATAAAATGAAAAAAATTGGAGGTATGTTATTTTTTAAATTCGTATAAAATCAATTTGAATTTATTCATATTTTTTACTATATTTGGGTATATCTTTTTTATAAGAAGAGATACAGACAACATATTTCACTATAAAACATTCGTCTTAAAGAGTTTTAAAAGTCTCTAGAAGATGACTTTCATGAGAAATTTAAATCTCCCCTAGAGAATTATCTAGGAATTCCAGGAATTTTTGGATTCTATTTTTACACACTGGTATTTCGTTAAGCAGTTTTGAGGTTAATTTTTATTTTTATTGATGGTTATGAATGTTTACTTTTCTTAATATTCTAGACTAGAAGAAACAATGCTAAGAATTTATATCGACATTTAATAGACCGTACCGTAATAGTTCCGTAAACTCTCGCTTACATGCCACACTAATGTAAATACCCACACCCACACGTCCCATAAAAGGGCGGAATAAATGTGGGCGGAATAAATGTGAATATTCCTGTGTTTTCATATTTTGTATCGCGTCCCTTTGATCACCCGGTAGTAAACTGACTATGAGACCTAGTTCGAGGAGTCTCTTGCTACTGCTGAGTTGTCGGGTTAACTGTTGGGCATCAGCTAGTTACAGTGTCAATATCCTTAAGGGGAAGCAGACCGCTCCGAAAAAAAAATTACGTTTTGATTTTTCTAAAAATATTGAAAAAAAAGTATCAAAAATCTAAAAAAATCACATTTTTTCTAATTTTTTAAAGAAAATTCACGTGCAAAAACATGTTTTATAAGTCATTATGGCATAAAGTTGGACTCAAAAAACCACAAAACATCAACTTTTCGGTTTTTCTGAGAGTCCAATTTTTTTTCATGATGGGATAGAAAAAAATTTTTTGCATGTAATTTTTGACAAAAATCTAAGGAAGAAACTGATTTTCTTGGATCTTTGATAATTTTTCCCAATATTTTTAGAAAAATAAAAACGTACCGAAAATATTTTTAAGGCCGGTAAGCTTCCCCTTTAGTCCAAGAGTAATGTTTTTTTTTTTGCTATCTGAGGTCTAAATTTTTTTTATTTGAAGATGTTTAAAGCCTTAAATTTTGAAACGTT